GCGCCTGTTCTTATTTTCCCTTCGTCTTTTATTGCCATCTACGCTATTGCGAGCCTTTCCAAGAGTCACTTTAAAAATAGCCGAGCTTCTACACCGAGAAACAGCTTCTCCCTCCCGCTTCCTTCCATTTCATGCGACTCCCTCCACCCGTCTCCCCCCCCCCACTCCCCTCCATCTTCCCTCCTTCCCCCTCCAACCTACGCTGCCTTCCTGCTTCCCTCAGTCCCTCCACATTTGTCTCACTCCATCTTTTCATCGTTCTCTACTTCCCTTCCTCTTTCTCTCTTTCCCTCCTCCTTCCCTCTTTCCCTCCTCTTATCTCTCTTTCTTTATCCCTTATTCTTCCCATCACTCTTCTCTCCATCTCTCCTTCCTTCCGTAGTCTTTCTATCTAAGCTCGTTCATTCCCTCCCCCCATCCCTATCCCCCCCCCTCGTTACTCCCTCCATCCTTCCTTCCTCTCCTCCTCTCTCCCTTCTCCTTCCATGGTCTTTCTATCTACCCTCGTTCCTTTCCTCCCTCCATTATTCCTTCCTCCCCTCCTCTCTCCTCCCTTCCTTTTACCTTTCCCATATCTCCTCTTTTCCCTCTCTCCCATCTCTCCCTTTCTCCCTTTCTCCATCTCTCTCGTCTCTCCCCTTTCCCCTCTCTTCCAACTCTCCCCTTTCCCCTCTCTCCCATCTTCCACTCTATCCCCTCTCTCCCCTCTATCCCCTCTTATCTCTCTCCCCTTTCCCTCTTCCCTCTCTCCCCTCTTCCCTTTCTCCCGCCTCTCCCCTTCCTATCAGCGTCTGGGAAAGAGGAAGAGAAAGGGAAGGCTTTGGGCGCTGCAGTTAGGAGATGGGAGAAAACGTTTCCTTTACACGCTTATGCATTCTTATGTCTCCCAGCTTTTGTTTACCTTATGTCTGTTTCTTCGCCTTTCTCCTTTTCTTTCTTTTTCATCGCTTTATCCCTCCTTCTTTCCATCTCTTTCGGCTATCTCGTTTCCCTCGTGTTTATATTATTGCTTGAGGCAATTGCAATGGGATTTGGGAGGAGACATCTGGGAAATATCTGATCCATAACTAAGGGAAAAAGGGGGAAAGAAAAGAAAACACAACGTACACTATTAAAGGAAAATGGGGGAAGAGAGAGAGGGAACGAAATAAAACAACAAAACAGCAACAATAAAAAACAACAGAAACACAAAAGATGATGCATAAATAAGTAGTACAAAGAGCACGGAAACGAATGGTAAAGTTTGAAGAGGAGAGAAGTAGGTAGGAAAATCAAGAAGGATAAACACTAAACAAGAAGCAATGGGATTACAGACTTAAATGAAAGAAAATAAATTGTACATTGAAAATGCAACAGAGAAGGCGCAAGCACACACGCACACACACACCAGACAAACACACACACACACACACACACAAACACACACACACACACAAACACACACACACACACACACACACACACACACAAACACAAACACACACACACAAACACACACACACACACAAACACACACACACACACAAACACACACACACATACAAACACACACACACACACAAACACACACACACAAACACACACACACACACACACACACAAACACAAACACACACACACAAACACACAGACAAACACACAGACACACACACACATATCCCCTCCCCCCCTTCCCTCCCTCTCCCTGGCTCATCCGACCGCAAGGAGAAGACACGGAAAGCCACGGAAGCGGATCAAGGGAGGTCTCGGCTGCTCTCAATCCACGGCGAGGCAATCCGTCCCTCCGAAGATGAGAAACTGGAGACGACGGAGCGCACAGGCAGCGGGGAGGGGGGAAATGAGAGGGAAATGAGGGAGAAATGATGGGGAAATGAGAGAGAAATGAGGGAGAAACGAGACACCATGCATGAAGAGGATGAGGATTGGGATGAAGATAAGGGGGGGGGCGTTGCGAATGTAGAAGGAGATTAAGATGTTTACCTATATGAAGAGGGAGAGGGAGAGGGAGAGGGTAAAGAGAGAGAGAGAGGGAGAGGGTAAAGAGAGAGGGAGAGGGTAAAGAGAGAGGGAGAGGGGAGAGGGGAGAGGAGAGGAGAGGAGAGGAGAGGAGAGGAGAGAGAGAGAGAGGAAAAAGAGAGAGAGAGGAAAAAGAGAGAGAGTGGAGAAAGAGAGAGAGAGGAGAAAGAGAGAGAGAGGAGAAAGAGAGAGAGAGGAGAAAGAGAGAGAGAGGAGAAAGAGAGAGCGAGAAGAAAGAGAGAGAGAGGAGAAAGAGAGAGGAGAGAGAGAAGGTGGGAGAGACAGAGAGAAAATATACCTGAGATCGTCCCAGGATAAGCGCAAGTAAGCGCACGCGACCGAGCATGTAAGGAAATACAGATTACGGAAGTGAGTGCATGTGCGTGTGTACGTACGGAATATCCGCACACGCGTCGGCGTCATTAGTGTGCGTCGCTAACGAAAAATCATAATTAACTACTCAATCTCTGGAAACGTTCGCTGC